CCCCCCCCCTCTCTCTCAACCCCTATCAGGATTTCGTGTCAGCGCGAATGGGATGCGCTGCAAGGTATCAACTCGACCGACGTCATCTTGCGCATCAATGAGGCCGAGGGTATTCGCGGCTGGGGCGAGTATGCCGGAGCGCCAGATGGCTGGGGCCAGGATGAGGACGTGAAAACGCTTGGCGGCAAGGAGTCGAAGCAAGCTGAGAAATCCCAGACCGCCCCGGCCGCGGCCGCTGCCGCGGCCGTCCAACCCTGGTCAGGAGGTCTCAAAGGAGATGTCCGTTTGGACGATGAAGGCAAACCGATGAAGGCGAAGCCTTTGCGGCCATAAAGGAGACGCAAACAACGTCGCTCACGACGAACTTCACTGCGCCGCATGTAGATGTAGCATCATGCCATTGCTCTGCTCTAGGGCTCAAGCCCATCAATGCTCAGTTCCTGCTTCAACTTTGCGCTGTCCTGCTCCGTCGCATCTTCGTCCAACGGTCCTAGCCAACGCCAGACTTCGAATCTATGATTCAGACCGCTCTGTTCATGCACAGCATACGGACCACCATCCCTGCCTCCCAGTAGCTTCCCCGTCGCAGCGCCGCAGCATCCACCAGCGCCTGGTGAAGGGTACAAAAAGTACAGCACCCTGACGCGAGAGTGTATGAGCGCCATGCAGCAGGACAAGCATGGTTCGTGCGTCGTGAAGAGCGCCAAAGAGGTCAAGAGGTAATCCTGCCCATTCGCTACTGCTCCCCGCGCTGGGATGCTAGAGACTGACCGCGCAGGCGTCTCGTTACCACCGCCACCACCACCATCATCACCAGCAGCAGCGACCAAAGCTGAAGCTCTGTGCTCTTCTCCAAGCTCTGCTTCTTCTTGCGTGCTCCGAGCGCCCGCGACGGTCGGCGACGGCGTGCGCGTATCGGCCAGAGAATGTCCCAGCAGCTTGTGTCGCTCCTTTTCTCGCTCGGATCGAATGCTGGCCACCGTCTTGATCACATTCGTGACGGCATGTTTTAATGGATTTCGCTCCTCTATCCGCGTATCGTGGGCTGCAGCTTCGATAGGAGCGCTAGTGACGGCTGCTGCGTCAGCAGCTGCGATTGCTGCCGCCGCTGCATTGCGCAGCGCTTGCGGCTCCTCGCAAGTCGTAGCGCCGTCGCTTCTCGGACTGTCCTCGCCTGCTCTTGAGCTGCTGTTGGAAGTATGCGTAGTTCCACTCGAAGTCGTCCTCGGCACGCCGCCTCCTCGCCAGGGCGGCAAGTGGAAGGGTAGAGTGACGCGCGCAGCTATAGGCACTTGCCCCTTCGACTTCGCTTCCAAAGCCAAGTCGACGCATTTTCGCAGGTGGCTTCGGGCCCATTGAAGCGCTTCGGGCGTCCATAGCTGTTCGTCCTTCATCCGGTCCACGATTAGCGGCACGCTGGCATTCGAGGACTGCAGTCCCGCGCAATCATTTCCTCGCGATTGGTGGTTAGTGGGCCAGTACGAGGTCCACTCGGCTAGTCGACTGCGCGAGGGAGCGGGATCTGCCGGTACGTCCACCAAGTAGGGCGTCGGCTCACCTCCATTGACAGTAAAGCTGGAAGCCCCGAGTCGCACCAAGAGTTCAAGCAGCATTTCCTTGCTGGGCATGTTCTGCTGCGCACAGATCATTCCCTGCAGTATCGGCCTCGGCTTCTCTGCAGGCCGACTGTGACCCGCTAATGATACCTCATTTCCTGCCGGCGGCGACAGCATGGTCTTGCGGTAGGTGCGAAGATGTCTTACTATCAATTGCGGATCGTCGCATACCCCAGCTTCCTGCACGGCCTTCTTGAAAGCTTGTTGGAAGCTGACAAACGCGCCGGTGCGCCGAGGCTCCACGTCGATGACCCAAGCTGGCAAAAGCTCGAGAGGTGCGCTCTCGGGATCGATGGCCTCCGTTAGGCGCCACAGTCTGCCGCGCTCAGGTTGCTTGCCCTGTGCCACAGCAGAGCGAGGTTGCGCAGTGCTTGCAAGCGATGGCGTTGTGGATAGCGCAGCATCGCGACGCCCGTGGTCACTGCTGGACGCTGATGGCTTGACCGGGTGACCATTCCGCAACCCATGCCTATTGATGTGCTGCATCGTAGCAATGCCCTTGTCAGCCTCCCAATCCTCGTCGAGACCCTGACCTAAACGCAGCAGCTCGTCTTCGTCGAGTTCGCTCTGCGAACCCGCGCGCGAAGATTCTCCTTCGCTAGCTTCCCACCACATTCTTCCAGCCCCGTAGCTGATGCATAGCTCTTCGCCTTTTTGCGCCGGCCGTGCAGTTGTGAAGCGAATGACTTGTGAGGAGTGATCCAGAGTGTAAGAGACGTTTGGGGCGATGGGGTCGTGATTGAACAGGGAGCCTAAGGGGACAAGGGCGACGTAAGCTGGAGCGGAGACGTGAGCAAGATTGTGCAAAATGTCAACTCACCCAATCCCAGGGCAAGAGCCATCTCTGAGCCTTCCTTCGATCTTCTCCAGACGAACGTGTAGCTGTCCAGCTGGGTATGTTGGCCGTACTGCTCGTACTCGTTGGCTGGGAACAGGAGCACGGGACTGATGTCTATGACGGTGCCCGCAGAAAGGTCACGCGTTGCGAAGACACCCCTGCCTCGCTCCGGGTGGGACCTGATGGTGATGTGCGTGGCCAGATGGGGAGTTAGGGAAGGATACTTGTGCTGAAGTTGTAGGTGCTGTTGGCGGTGGTGATGGTGAGGCGGATTGATTTGGCCATTTGAAGGCTTCCCGATGACTGGAAGAGTGCGAGAGGCATCATGTTTCCCGTTGGAAGAGCTCACATACACGTCTGCGCTGCTCGCCGTCGGCCGGTGCATGTGTTCAGATCGGCCATTAGAGAGTGCCACAAAACCTGACGAAATGGAAGTTGCTGGTGGAAGTGCTGAAGCCTGTGCTGACTTTGAGTGAGGAGTCGCATCGAGGGCCGAGGGTGCCATGAGAACCGCTGTAGGCATGCGTGGAGGAAAAAGCGATGGGGCTCAAGTGCGCTACGCTGCAATGGGGTCGAGTGTTCACGAATTTGCAGCTCGAAAGGGAAGCTGGACTGCGCAGTGTAAGGTCTGACGAGGTGTAAGGGACTGCGGCACAGTTGCACAAGTGACGCGGAAGCCTCTGAGCTGATGGTGATGATGACGGTGATGCTTGTAGCGGATGTGTGAGGCTGAAGAGAGACCGAGATGAAGCGATGCGATCGACGTCTGGAAAGGATGTGCTGTGATGATCTTATTCACGATTGTAACGCTATCACGATATGGAGAAGAGGGTGTGTGTGACTCAGCGGCGCCATCCTCACCGCACCTTGTAACCGCCAAGTTCGATCACCGCACCGCACCGCACCGACCGCGGCTTTGGAACTTTTTTCTTCCTGCTCACGCGTCACGGTCGCGTGGCTCGCACAACAGCGCAGCATTCAGTGATTCACGATTAAATCAAATGCACGCAATACGTGAGCAAGATGCTAGCAAAGTGTGTCACGTGGTCAAGCACTACGGCGAGACGATTCCCGCGTCGGCGCCCGCGTGACTTGCGGCACGTACCCCGCGGGTTAATTCAAGATTCTTGATTCCCATGCATGCATGCTGATGATGAGGGTGCAGCGTACCTGTGGATGCTCCGCGTAGACAGCAGATGCAAGTACGCGGGTGAGCCGCTGCAAAAGAACAAGCCAGCAGCAAGTCACAAGCGCCGTTTGAGAACAGCTAGGTCGTCGTTGCTGCATACACTGCAGTCACATACAATCACAGTCGTGAGTCGTGAGTATGCGGCAACCGTGAGTCATGAGTGGAAGTCAAGAGTCACAGTGGTATGTCGACAGAAGAAGAGTCACACGTATGAGTCTCTATAGTGTGAGCGTTGTGCTCTGGGACCGTAATGAACGATCGGTGCGGACTTTGGGAGTCAAGAGTCCGTGAGTGTGAGTGTACCGATCAATGCGAGTCTGAGTGGACGGACATTTGTGATTTGTCTGCATGCTGGTGCTGCTGCGTGGCCGACGAGCCAGCATATGTGCATGCCGAGAGGCGAGAAGATTCGTGATTGGCAATTGGATGACCTTGGCTCGCGTGTGGGGGCGCTAAGCTTCAGGATCTGTGATTCTGAGAACGAAGGATCGTACGTGTAGCGGGACGTGGTCCTCTGAAGCGTGTTTGCACTCACTTTTGGATCAGCATCACCATCACGAGCTTCCTGGACACACGCCTTGAAGCCAAGATGTCTCTGATCGCAAGACTCCTCCGAGGAGCGTTGTACTTGGCGCTCCTGAGCCTGGTGTCCTACAGCACCATCCTCACATCGGAGCCGGATGTCAAGAGTCCGGAGGTGCGGCTGGAACAAGGCACGGTGAGGGGCATCGAAGAGGGTGGCATAGAGTACTTTAGAGGCGTACGCTACGCTTTGGACACTGCCAACGAGGGAAGATTCAGAAGACCGAGACCCATCTGGGAAAACCTGAGCCACAAATTTCCAGTCGAGTCGATTCAGGTCAATCGCACTTTGTCTTGGCAAGGCGTTTACGACGCCTCATTCTTTGCTCCTAGCTGTCCGCAATTGTGAGCGCGACGTGTGTGGATGGAAGGGACTCGTGCACAGCGCAGACTCAAGTGTCACGCATTGACACAGTGCTCGCCTCTATCGCAGTGTCGTGCCCAAAGTCTTTGGCGGATGGGCACCTCCCTTGCCGGCAGGAAGATTGCAAGAGGTGGTGTCGGAGGATTGTCTGCATGTAAACATTGCCAGGCCGCCGGGCATAAGCATTCACAAGCCTCTGCCAGTGTTTGTGTGGATTTATGGAGGCGCGTGGTAAGTCGTTCGCCTTCCACAAGCGCTGCAGTCATTGCACTCACTTTCGCTCTCATGCGCCCGCTCACGCAGGATAATGGGCGCAGACTTTTTGTACGATCCAAAGACTTTGATGCAAGCCTCTTTGAGAAAAGGCGAGCCCATCATCGTCGTGACGCTCAACTACCGCGTTGGCGCATTCGGTCTGCTGGCTGGTCCTGCCGTCAATGAGCTAGCGGCAGAAGGAGATGCTGATCTCAATACCATGCTATGGGATCAAAGGACCGCTCTGAGATGGGTCAAGAGGGTGCGCAAGATCCTTTGAAATTGCCTCTCATGCACGAGCAAGCCGCTCACACTTCTTTTGCCGCACAGAATATTGCGCAATTCGGCGGCGATCCTGACCACATCACGCTCGGCGGCGAATCCGCAGGGGCGGTGTCGAGCATGTATCAGATGCTGGCAAATGACGCGGACAGGGAGCGCGAGGATTTGTTTCATGCCGTGATACTTCAAAGCGGGGGTGCATTGTGGGTGGACAGAGTTCGCTTCAGTGCCCTCGTCTCTCGCTGACGATATGCTTTTGCTTCGTTAGCCCCGGGAGCGTGTCGGCAACCAACTACAGGCACAGGGACGAGTACAATCAGCTACTAGCGACGACGCCCTGCGCTGCCAAAGTCGGCTCTCGCGAGCAGATCGCCTGCCTGCGTGGGCTTTCCACTGCTTCTATGATGGCAGCCAACACCCGCTCTGTCCAGCGCCTACTAGGTGTCCTCAACGAAGCTTCTTGGCAGACCCAATTCTTCTTCCCTTGGTTTCCCACTCAGGATCCTTACTTTGTGCCCGAGTCGGCTTACGAACGTGTGACCAGAGGCAAATACCTTGACATTCCCATCTTGGCGGGCAATACGGTAAGTTTTAGAACTGACAGCAAGCAAGAGGGCTGCAGACCGCGGCGTACTGATGTGCGTTCTTGATGCTTCACTGCGCGGGACCCTCAGCTCGACGAAGGAACGTTGTTCACGCCTACAAATATTCAGAACTCTTCCATGCTGTTCTCCTGGATGCGAAGGGGCGTTCTCTCTACCGAAGGCCTGGATGTCAGTCATCAATATACGGTCATCGACAAGATACTGCAAGCATACCCAGACGACCCTGTCAAAGGAAGTCCTTTCAGAGCCGATCTGGTTGGAAAGAAGCCAGAGGATCGTCTATTTGCACCAAACGAGACGAATCAATACAAGCGCGCCGCCGCCATTCGTGAGTGGTCCTCGACACAAACCGCGCTTGCTGGAAGAAGTAGATTGCTATCCGAGCTAAATGGTACGAAATTTCCCATGACCGATGCAGTGGGCGACCTAGGCTTTGTGGCCCCGACTCGCTATCTGCTCGAACGGCATTCTGCAGCTCTTCAAGAGCATAACAAAACTTTCCCGATCTGGTCGTATACGCTAAGCGAGCCTGCTCCCGGCGCGCCAGCACACCTAGGCGTCCCTCACGCCGTCGATAACGATTACTGTGAGGCGAAACAGCGATGCAGACACGCAAGGGCGGCTATTTGCAAGCGCGGGGACTCACTGCTGACCGTGCATTTCCCGACCTCGCTTCCGTCGTGTCACAGTGTTCAAGTGCGTGGTGTGAACACACAGCTCCGCGCGAGGGCGTCGGGATGTTTGCTGACCTTGACCTCGCTACCGCAGGCCGTCTGCATCTTATCTTTTCCTTCGACCGCCGACTGGTGAGAAGATTGTGGTGCCCAAGCACAATTGCGAGCACTGCGATGCTAATCGTGGCCCACCCTCTGGTCAGATTTTCGAGTGCCCGGCAGTAGATGGGCTAGCGTGGCTGAAGCGCTCGCGAGCTCGTGGGTCAGCTTTGTGAATCATCACACGCCAAACGGTCGAGGAGGTGAGTGCAGCGCGCAGCTCACGAGTGTAATTATGCCGAGCTATCGCAAGCGGAGAAGCAGGTCAGGCAAGCGACGCTATGAGCTGAAGCTTTGTCACTGTCCGCGTCACGCAGCCATGTCGTGGCCTTCTTACTCGACCCGGCCGCGTCCAGGGATCCCGAAGCGTGCGAATCTCAATTTCCAGTTCATGAACAGCACGGTCGAGACGCTGACCGCGCGCCACGAGGTGATACTCAACACGTTCATTCACGACGAGGAAGTCCGACGTGCGCTTGCATATTAGACATGATTCACACCTTCTGGCTGAGTGATGACAGCTGTGTCATCTTCGTCAGCATCAGGGTTCACTCAAGAAAGAATGACCGCGCGGTCTATCATCTGGCGTGCAGGTGATCACTGTGAATGTCCTGCACGATATATTACTTGGCAATGTTCAAGCTTCAATTTTGGAATGCAAGTCCTGACAACTTTCATCCCATTACGCATGTGCCTGTGCTGCGAAACGCTTTCTGTCACGGGCGATGAGCACCTCGATCGCGAAGAGAATGGGACGAAGGTGCTTCATCCCTACTGCGTGGCCCGATGGCGCTTGTAAAGCCGGCGCGATTTTAGCGTCCCGATTCCGCTAGAGCCGCGCCTGTACGCCGACAGGCTCATTCCTCCCTATAGCGTGCGCCGGCTCGACAGTCGTGAGTCGTGCTTCTTGATGGGAGCAGCACCCTCATCACGCTCGCGGACTGTTCGCGTTCGTGGCTCGACCCGTGCGGCCTTTGCTGAATGAACCCAGGCGAACGGGCCGAGGAGTGAGATGATTGTCGATGGATGGATCGTCGCTATAGTGGACCTGTGGAATACGGTGAGGATTTTGCTTTCATGCGCCGGGAAGCTTGCAAAGCGCGCCTGGATGTCGCGCTTTGCGAGTCCGTGAGTGTCCCCTCCTCTCTTCGTCCGCTTCTCGACTCTTTCCGCAAAGCACCAAACTGCGGTTGTGAGGCTTCCTGCAACCTGTAGCGTCTCCTCTGCTGCGCCACCTGGGAGCTTCTCTAGACTTGGGCTGACCCAAGGCTGCTCAAAGAACGCGCGACAAGCCGTAGCGGGTCGGTTTGCGATCCAAGCTTCATGCCAATCAAGTCAGACGCCGCATCTGGAGCGCGCTCTGGCGGCCGCCCGCGTGATTGAGATGTGATTGGTCAAGAACAAGTAAGCACAGGACGCTCGCTCACGACTGCCGAGTGAGTGCATGCATCGTGAGAAAAAAGCGGCGACTTGAGTCGTACAAGGTTGCGCTTCGAGCTGCTGCGCCAGTCTAGCTGCTTCTGCTCAGCCTCATTCAATTCAGAGGCGAGCGCACGCGCGTCACAAGATGTGTCGCTCAAATTCCGGTGTCAGAAGCTGAGTCCTGCGAGTCACCTGCAAGGTGTATAGGCAGCGTATAAGCTAGGCAGCGTGCCTCATCGATCATGGTCGATCGAGATACTCGCAAATACTAGACCCTGTGTGACTGTTGCTGTGTAGGCAGTCTGAGTCACAGCAGTCAAAAGAAGCGCGTGCAATCACACGGCCAATATAGCGCTGCGCCAAGCTGCACGCGATGCGTCAAAAGTTGAAACACCGCCCAAGCGCGACGGAGGCCGGGAGTTCTTTGTGTGTGCGTTCACACTCACAACAGACTCGCGACTGACGAATCGTGACTCACACTCACACTGGCAGGGTATCGATACCCGAGAGATCGATCGGCGGAGGCGAATCCCTCAGCTCTGGTACCGGATCCGGAGCGGCGTGTCTAAGAACTCTGTGTTTTGTTGACGTAGACAGCCCGTAACGCTTGCCTTTGTACAAGATACGTAAATGTCACGATTCACATCGCCGCTGCTCCCCCTTTTCCGTGTTGCCGCTGCACTCTTTGACGGGGATGTTGCTGATCTGGTGTTTCTCACAGAGGGAAACTGCACGTAGACCCTTTGCACAGGTGCTCTTCTCTCGCCATGCACCGCTTGGCGCAGCCCAGCACTCTCTCTAGCGTGTCTGAATGCGTTGCGATTGTGTACGGTCAGCTGCATTCTTGCCTGACCGTGCGGTGCACATTCCCATCACGCCTTCCGCCAATCCGTTCGGAGGGTCACGAGTCGCGTATAGTGGATACGAAAGCTAATTGGGCTAGCGCAAATCTGACTTCAAAAGCGTGGCGAATGAGCTTTCCAGGCTGACATCGGCCAGTCAAGTCGAGCGGCAGGGCTCTGGAGACTCGCATAGGCTTGTTGCTCTTGGGCAGATGAAGTGCCGCTGGCTCTCTCGCCAGAGGCCCCGCCGTTCGACGCGATTCCTGAGTACGTTTGCGCATGAGTGAGGCTGAAACGCGAATGTCATGCGTGCGGGTGTCCGGCGCTGGATGGACCCGCCCTTGCTGATGGTCTTAAGACCAAGGGCACAATGATCGCGTCCATCAATCCTCACGTCGCTCCAACATTCACCGCTCTCGCTCGGGTTTGCTACTCTCCGCATCCGTCTGTGAAGCTACTTCTAATCCTGGCCTCACATCCGGGCTGCCTTACACAGGAGTACGCCTCAGCCTCTAGCCAAGTCACTACTGAGTGTGGGCTCGATCGACTTGCGTATGCGACGACGTTCGGTTGCACATTCGACTAGTCAAGAGCACGCCACGCAGCCGAGCTCTCGCACTTTGACTACTGGAGTGGACCTTACAGACTCTCGCAGCTTTTCTGAGACCACCTCGTGATCCAGACTAGTTCACTGCCTCTTCCAAATCACAATTCATCGATACTCACCAATAGCAGAAGATCCACCTCCGCAGCGGAGGCCCAACGCCGAGACTTGGAGCTCCGAGCCACATCGTCGGCGCTGTCGCGCGACCCACTCGTTCGGTTCGACAGCGGCCAAACTCGAAGCCGCGCCAAATTCTGCCAAGCCTTCGTTCGCGCTTCCTCGCCCCCTCGCTCGCGCCGTTCATAGCACCACAGCAGTGCGGCGTCGTTCGCATGCATCTACAGTATCTGCATTCACGACTCGAATTCCGAGGCCGCAGAAGCATCCCGCACCGCACCGCACTTGCCGACGGCATCCATCGAATCTACTCCTCACGACTGCACCACTCACAGCCCACCAGCGGACGTACGACCCCACTCGGCCCTGCATCCAGTCGTGAGTCGCGAGTTTGCACAGGTCACACGACCTGGCCACCCTGCTTGATCGAATTTTGTTGCTTAATGAAGCACGGCCGACAGAAGCTTCCGCTGCGCGCACGCACATAGCCGCGCCCACCAACATCAAAACCGCGCGGTCAACCAACACCTCGCCTCCTTCCATCGACCCCTTTCTTCGCCACCGGCATCGGCAATTTCTTGTCTTGCTCATACCCAAATCCAGCCTCACGGCGCCAGCCCTGCGGCTGCTCACTTGCAAAGATCGTCCCATTCTGTCGGACCAAGCGCAAGCTCCGCTTGCTCTCGGCTGCCGTGCCAAGCCAAGGGCTCCATTCGCTTCGGCAAAGTCTCGAGTGTTGCTCTTGACCGACCGAGGGTCTCTACACGTACGCGTCTCGAACCATCGCATCAGCCAGCAAAGAAGCCGGAAGTGGATACCTCTCCCTCTTGCATTGCAGATTTCTGCCGCTCGTTCCTTGCTATTGGGATCGCTTGTTTGATCCGTAGGTCAGGTTGAAGCGAGGCAAGGAAGTCAAGCAGAAGCAACGGCTACCCCTGCCCTTGCTTCGACTTGCGGACGCGGTGCTCCCCGCCGAAGTCACACTTGACTCACCCAAAGTCCACCCCAATTAAGCAGCAGCAGCAGCAGCGTTTCCATTTTTGATTTGCTGCTGCTGCAGCTTGCTAGCTGCTGCATTGCATGCATGCATCCTGCGCGCCTTTTCTCAGCAACGCACACAAGCCGCGTCTCCTCGCCTCAATTCCTACACAGCAATAACCAAGCAAACGCACTCATCACTGCAGCAGAGAAGCAGCTCAGCAGCGGAGGGCGCACACTTGCATGGTGCGATTGGGATCTCAGCGCATCAGCACACGCTTCCCCAGCCGCGCCCTTGCTGCCCCTTGCGCACCAACTCGCTGCTGCCTCGCGGTGCCTGAATTCGTGCTGCTCGCCTGCAGCTGATAGACTCCACCACGACTTCAGAGAGAGTCTTTATTGAACTTTTTCTCGACCTGCTACCCGCATCCTGCTCTGCTCTTCGCCGTCCTGATCATCACCACCACCACTAGACAGCGCGCGTAGTGTTCCTCCATTTCCAAGCAGCCGCTTGTGGGAAGCAAGTTTCCGAGGGCTTCGGTCGACCGATATCCTGCCTCGACGCGTGACTTCATCGTCATCTTGGCTGCCCAGGATAGCCCCCTCCGCCGCATCTGGCCTGCCGGTCCTGCTCCTACGGCGCGGCGACCCTGAGGCTCTCGGCTACCTCTCAAGTGCCAGTACTGCCGAGAAGGCCATCACAGGACCCGATCGGCCCCGTGTATGCAGGCTCGACCGCTGATCCATCTGATCACGCGGCGCGAGCGCGGGGACCACGCTGAGCTCGGACTCTTTGGATCGTTCTGTAACTTCGGTTCAAGGCTCTTCTGGAACAACAGACACGACTTTTTCGGCGGAACTATCCCAACTCATCACGTCACATCACATCTACTGTCGTCCGCAGACCTCGATACGACATCCGCCTCTCGCGTGCCAATCAAGCTCCGCAATACTGACAGTCCGACATCAATTTGACCCTTCACACCCGGGGTGATACGTAAAGTTGGAGCAGCCACAGCTTGCTCGCATTCATCATTCGGTCCACGCACGCTGCTCTACGCATATCATTGTCGGGTCGATCGCTGCCGAGGTGCTTGAAGTGATCACAACGGTGAGTCAATGAGACGTCTCGTCTCGCTACCCGACCATGTGTGGCGGCAGACTCGCGGAGCCAAGCTGGCGATCATCTGCACTCGATCATTTGGAGAGGATCTAGCTGCTCCATGTGAGCCGCGTGACGGAACATCCGCAGCGGTCTCTTGAAGCCCAATAGGTTGATCTGCCAGTCCGTGGCATGACGCGCAGCGGCCCGCATGGCGGCCCGACACACAGCTGGATGGGTTGTACCTCCAAGCTGCAGTGCCACGGCTGGCTGCGCTTTCAGTGTGCGTGGCATTTTGCGGAAAGTGGATCGTAAAGAAGGTTGCCATGCAGTGGCGATGCTTTCCGAAAGTAGCCAGCACCATTTAGGGCCGGCAGGCATCTCGCGGGCTGCTTTGGGTGTTCGATTAAGAGTTCCCAATCTAACGCCTTTGACTGCGCCAATCTTTTTTTCTCATTCCGCACAGCCCGAGCTGCGACTCAACATCTCGGTGGCAACTCGTGCACTAAGAAGTTGATAAGGGAGATTCTTGGACCATCGGTGGTGTTCGTCCACTCCAAAGCGCTGCTGCACCGTTGGCGTGCTCTAGCTCCAAATCCTAATTCGATTTCTAGTTGCTCTCCGCTGGACTGGACATGGCTGCGGCTCCATCGCCTCACGCCGCCTCAGGCTCGCGCGCTTTCGTCACTGGCGATAGGCCATCGCCATCAAGCGCGAATCACCGACCCCTTTTTGTGCCCACTGACTTCAAACGGGAGAGGCGAACTCCTGAGCCTCCTGGTTCAGGATCGAGCGTACGACACCGCGACAGTAACTCCAGCTTGGATCAGACTAGCTTAGCCTCCCAAGGCGTGCCGTCACCGACGGCTTCCGCCGTGTCAAGTGCGAGTCAGTTGCCGCTGGCGACTCAACTTGCAGTTCGCCGAGCTAGCCACAGCCACTACGCACAAAGCTCACGCGCATCTTCATCAGAACGCGGAGCACCATCGCTCCACGCTTCTTCGCGTTCGCCGACCCCTCTTCGAACCGATTCCTTCGTCAAGGCATCCTGTCAAATGGCGCCGGCGACCGTCGGTGACGAGCACGAACGCGGTAAGCCAGATGCATTCGTTGCGGACGCGCCCGCCTCTGCGGTCACTGCGGGGATTGTCTCAGAGCCTTCGGCTTCTCACCAAGAGCACAGCATCGAGACCCCAACTCGCATGGGCCACGTTCAACAGAGCGGGCTGCGCCAAGAGGCGGCGCAAGTGTGGAAGCAGTATCAGGCTCGCTCGCCGTTTGCTCCCAGAATTTCTGGCGACTCTTTGACGAAAAGCGCTCTGAGAGCAGCGCCTTCGTCAGCCTCGACGCCGGTCTCTCCTACTCGCTCAGACGATCCAGGGATGCCTACATATGCTCTGGATGGTGCATCGCAAGGAGCGCGGACGGACAGCCCGACAGAGCGACGATCTCGCGAGACGTTTGCTAGCCGCCTGTCTCTCAATCTCGGCTCAGGTAGCTTCTATCTGGGAGACGAGGATGGCTGGAAGGAGCGGCTGCTGTCAGGCACTTCTGACCCGGAATCAAGCTCTTGCAAGCTGGCATCACCTCGACAATTGCAGGAGTCTGGTCGAAGCCTCAGCCAACCGTCATCGAGCACCATGCCTGTCCCACAGACTTGCAACGATCTGACTCATGACGAGCGCAGGCAGCAGCTACGCCGCTCACAGAAGCTTGTAAGCATCTTCGGAGGCGAATTGTTTGGAGAAGGAGAGGATCGCGCGGCAGAGCACGACGATGCGAATCGCAAAGCATCGAGGAGAGCGACTGCACTTTCCGCGACGCTTCGTCGGCAGAGCGATCCCATGGAGACGCTCCATACGGCAAGGTCTCAGGTCCACAAGGAGAAGATCTGCGCCGAGCCTTCTGGCTTCTCTAGAGCCCGCAGTGTGCTTAGACGGCGAAGCAGAAGCGTCATCAACATTGGGCAGATACAACCTGCGAGTATTTTTCCTACGAACCCGTCCCCGGCGGCTATGTCACACCTTTCGCATGAGACTCGTCCCCCTAACCTGACTTCCAAAGCTGCTGCGCTCCTGGGTCTGGACGTCCCTGGTACAGGCGATCGCGAGCATTTTGGATCTCATCGGTCCTCGGGCGCCTCTCGAAGCGGCCTCAAAGTGGTGCCTCCAGTTTCCTACCGCACATCATTCAGTGTGACACAGTCAAATATCCCAGCCGCTCCTTACTCGGCTTTTCCACGTCTGACCAATGCGTTCGATGGCAACGACCTCTGGAGCGCGGTCGACAGTCCTCCCACTCTGCAGGGCGACGCGACGGCTGTGCAATCAGGACCGAAGTTCGCGCTCGATGCGATCCATAGGGATGCGTCTATCGACCAGTCCAACTCTTCAAGCAGTCTAGAAATTTTGGCGGATCATAGCCTCGAGCTCGATGGCTTCCCGGTGGGAGGCCCGCGAGAGGAGCGACGCAAGCGCGTCGCCAAAATAAGCAAGTGGCTTGGTGCTGTGGTGCCTCCTCACCTCGTCTCACCCTCGCTCGACAGCCATGTCGGCCCGGCATACATGCTAGGCGATGAGCCTCACATGCAGGAGGTGGATTACTTCAGTGGTGCACCGACTGCAGCGGACTCTGACTCGGAGAGCACTCGTTCAGGGCTGAACAGAGCGAAGGTGGCAACACTGCGGCGGCTGAAGCGTGAGCCTCAAGGTAGCACTATTCCTGCGCCTGGTGCGACGTCTTTCACTGAGACGGAACCACGAACAAGCTTGCTGAGGCTCTCTAGCTCGAGCAACTCGTCCAACGACCATTTCACCAACGTGCGCCGAGCGCAGACCATTCAAAAGAAGTTCGGCGAGGCCCCTCCGCATGGCCTATTTGGAAGCGCGCCTGCTCTCGAAAAGAATTCTTCGGCAGTGTCTAGGCAGAGCACTCGTCGCGTCCACGGGCATTCTGCTAGCGTCTCTGCCATCGGCCGCTCCGGCGTCCTGCCAGGGCGCATGGCTGATCCACTGCAAAACAAAGTGAGCCACTCTCTGAGCACACGACCTCGCAGCGGCTCCAACCAGTACCGAGCTTCCCTCGACAACTTGGAGTACCTGCTCGAGCACGATCGCTCTCTCCTGACGCAGCTCGTCACAGCTCTCGACGAAGAGAGCGAGAGCAGCAGCAGCGCTGGCCTTGAGCGCGGAGCTGCTCCGGCGCTGCGAGACCCTTTTGCTAGACCGAGCGAATCCCGATCTTCTTCCGTCGCGAGAACGGAGCGGGAGTATCGAAGTCCTTCTCCTGGCCTCGAGTCGGACAGTGCGTCATTGCCGCTTTCCACCAGCGATCCCAGCGATTCTGCTCTGGCGAAGCATCCCTACGCCATGCAGCGCGCGTATCACCCTTTCAACACTTCGGTGGCCCCGCCCGTGGATGACGCAGGTACATCAGGGCCACTTGAGGAAGTAAGGCGCGGCTCCATCGCTTCACTTACATCGACTACCGACAGCCTTGAAACGGACTCTGTAGACGATACGATGGAGCGTTGCATGCACAGCGCACACCGTCAGCAGGCTGCTCGCGCACAGCGCATTGCAAAATTCTTTGGTGAAGCTCCTCCAATGCCTCTGGTGAACTCCCATACCGCGCCCAAGCCTGGCGTAGCGGATGGGGCGATACCACACGGCTTGGCCGGCATTGCGATGGCGGACACTGGAAGCGGTGGAGTTGCTTTGAATGCCCATTCGACTGCATTGGACGTACCAGTATCCGCGCGCTCTCGACTGGCTCCTCGCAGCGCTGGTTCTGGCACCTCTCACGCCTTCAGGCGCATCCTTCGCAGTATCGAGGACGAGCTCGAAGATGACGAAGCTTTGGAGCCGCGAGAACGGATGGACCTTAGCTGTCGCTTGGAAAAGTTGAGGCGAAGGCAGAAAGAAATCGACAATGCGTGATCGACAACCACTACCGTGTGTGTATCAAAGCTCCACATCTTTTTGCAAGGAAAAAAAAGGGGCCGTATCTCTAGCGAGATGAATGTATATCTGTTTAGCCGCCTACTTCACACGCCATGTCTTGCGTGCTCTATTCGTATGACCTCTGTGTCCTTTGTGGCTGGATATGTGGCTTACCATTTGACTACTAGCGAGGCGTGTCGTCATTCGCTCGTTGACACAATGCCAAGGTTCACGGCACCGAAAGTTTTTGATCTGCGCGGCTTGCATCGGTGCTTGGAACTCCTTTGTCCTGGACCAGGCGCGCCCTTGTCATCGCACGCGCCGGAGCCGATAAAGGTGATGCAGAGTGCAATCTTGACAGACCCTCGAACCAAGCACGAGAAAGGAGCTCTTGTAGCGAGACGCCATGATCTGTGGGCCAGCAGCGAGCTCAAGACAGTTTCTTGAGGAGCTTGTACGATTCGCCGTCTTTTCAAACGTCCGGATCGTATCGTGCTCTTGCGTGCTTGTCCATCCATCCACGCCCAGTCGACGACTCGAAGACAGGGAGAATTTGTTGCTCGCACTTGTTCTCGCGACTAGCGAGCATTCGTGACGCGGTGTTTGCGAAGCGAAACGTCCGTCGTTTGGCAGCTATTGACCATTTGTGATTCACCGCGGCTTCCTTGAAGCAGTCAGCATCATTCAGCATTCAAATCCACATGAGGAGCTCGTGTGGAGAGCTGCCTCTTGTCCTTCTTAGCTCCGACCAGACACGGAATCACAAGGCTGCGAGTTTCTGTGGGAAGTGCCTTGCTGCTTGAACCAGCCCAGTCAAGTGTGTGCGCTGGCGCCGAAACCGACGCTGACGGGGCCTGCAGAGGTCCGCGCGTAACTTAGCCGGGAGCGCTAGTCGAGGCGACCACATGGTCAAGCTGCAAAGGACAGCCAAGCCTGCCTCGACAGACTGCCGCACCATCTCTGCCAAAAACAGCTCGCACTCGCACTCGCTCCAGCGAATCTCGAAACGCCAAAAACAGAAGAGTCGACGGGTTCGAGTCGAGATCTGAAGAGGCTGGTGAGTCGAGTGACCGCTGATCCACAGATGGCTCAAGCCCCAATCACGCGCAGTAAGACGCTGGCATGCAGCAGCTATAGGCCGCACAAGGTTCGATGTCCGTGGCTGCTGGATCCGCAAACGCGTCTCTTGACACGAATTCGGAACGCAAGCAAAAGGTTCACCATCCACGCAATCAAGCGCCGTCCCAGCAAATTCGAGAACGCGCATTGTGTCTGCATGGTTCACCAGACCTGCGGGCGCTTGAGTCTGGGTGCGGGTACCCGGTAAACAAGGTCATACATCATGTGCGATAAGCGTGAGGATTTGAAGATAGAAAGAAGCTCGATGACTGAGCACCACCGCCGTCTTGCTACATCTCGTCCAAGCGCCGTCTAGCGCCATTCCGAATGGCATGGTCGCTTGCCCAAGCGCGTAAACGAGGAGCGGAGCCTGCGTAAAGATCCGAAGTCGCAAGCCCTCGACGTCGAGGCGGGGCGCCAAAGCAGTCCAAAGGGGGCTGTTGCCTTGCCGCGGACTTCCTTCCAGACGTCCGTGTCCACTAGCGTGGAGATGATTCGCCGAGCCCCCGAATTAGGGAAAGTCAACCTTGACTTGATTGCGAATTGAGTGCATGGTGACGGCTGCTGATGCTGCGCGCCTTCTCTCGCCATTTAGACCTAGTGATTGGTCTGCCACGACCTCGAAAGATGCGGCTGCTAGGCTTGCTTGTCGCTGGCCGTCTTTGACACTTTTGACCACGCGCGCTCGAATGCCAGGGGCTTCTCTTTAGCGTGGAGCTTATGACGCCCAACATCCCGGAGTGGGGACACGCTCAACAGTGGCACTGAGGGAATAGTATGCTCGCGATCGCGGCTGGGTAGCGTGAGTGACATCCTTTCATTGCTCCCTTAGTGGAGCAGCGCAATTCGAAGCGGCAAGGTCAAGCAGGTCCATCGCGAACGCGGGAAGGGGGGAAATATTTCCAGCCCGTTGCATCGTGAAGCACGAATGCGTCGAGCAGGCGGTGAGACAGCATCGGTGATTCGAGAGAGAGGCCGTCGCCTAGCCAAACGTGATCGACGCTGATCGCGACGTGTACCCATCTACGCGCCATAGCTCGTCTGTGCGAAATGCAGCTGAGAACGTGCACGAGACGCGTTCGCTTGCAGGACGAAGTTCGATGGCGTTCAAATTGGTTAAAGGCAATCACAGATCGGCGCCAGCTAGCAAAGTCCGCTCAGCAGCAGCAGCAGCATGCGGTCATTTGGGACCGGGAGCCTCTCGTTCGCTCGCCTTCACAGTCAAGCATCATGCACCTCAAAGACACAAATCGCTGCTTATTCTCATCTGCACACAGAGTCTGGGTCAGCATCCCTTCTCTATAGCTCTACGATGGCTCGAGGCCACGATCGTGCAGTAGAAGTTTGCGTTAATCGGGTCCCTGAATGGATCGATCTATGCACGTCGAATGATGCTCAAAGATGCCCGTATGTGCGCCTGAAAGCAGGTCATTGTACCGCAGCGCTGGTCCTATGACCCAAACCTCGCGCCGCTCAGGGCCGAGCTAGTCGTGAGTCTGAATGCTGTCTCGTCAATTTTTGGTCGCGCCCCCTTGAGGTTGCAAATTTGGGTTCAGCTTCTGTGCGTGGCTCGGAGGGCAAGCGCAGAGCGAAGGAGGCGGCAGAGGCGCTTGAGGAAGCACGAGCGGAATGACAAAAGGCCACGGCCGACTGCTCACCCAGCCACGCGCTCTTATCGGGAATGTAGCAGCAGCAGTAAGTATGTAGTCTGTGAGTGCTGTTGCTGTAAAGTCTCCTCTACAGCCAAGTCAAGCTGATGCAATTACGGTGAGTGTGCGTGCAGCGTCAGGAGCAGGAGATACGTAGGTCCGTCGAAGGCGCAATTTGAATGCAAAGGGGAAACCACCCCCTTAGCGCCGCGCTAGGGATGGCAGCTAGGCCTTGCTCAAGCCCGGCACTTTGACCCGCCTTTCTCAGCACGACCTGCCGAGACGCGTGCAGCCATGGGAGCGCCCACGAATGTGGAGATCGCCGTCTTCAAATTGCAACAAACAGAACGAGTCCGTACGCGCGATTGGCTTTCACAATCAAAAACCGTATTGGGGCACCGCACAAGTCTGGCAAGAGCTGATAGGACGTTACAGCCCCGCGACTCTCGTTGGCTACGATCGACGGAGTCGATGCACTTCGATCATGTCAACGCCCGCCAGCAGTCACGAGTCGTGCTCAGCTGGCCAGAGAGTCACAGCGGAAGCGAAAGCTTCCAACCGCAGAATTCATGCGTGGCGTGTGACGCTGCTGCTCAGGCACACAATCTTCCATCACGGCAGATATGGCGCTGCTTACTCCACGATCTCGACGCCTCCTATACATACAGTCAAGAGTACCTCGGGTAGAAGAGAGTTGCAGTCGGGCTTGCGGACTTCCGTGCCCACGTAATCGTCAGCATCCATCCAGACCAACAAAGCTTGTCCTCACGAGTCGTCGCGTTCTCGAATGAGGCGTTTGTGATGCCTGCCCTTTGTGCTTCACCCGCGAATCCATGTAGCTATATATAGCTGAGCGTGTGGACAAGACCCCGCGTGGATCCTTTGTTACGCAGAGCGTGAGAGCGCACCTTCGCGGCAGGGCAAGCAGCTCGCCGCGGTGCGACTCGAATGTGCTCCTTGCGCATGTTTGCTGTGCTTGTTGATTCGTTGACTGCCTTGTCTTCCACATGCAGCAGCAGCAGCAGCAGCAAGCAGTATCGTGATATTGATTTTGTTCAGGAGTGTGATTCGTGATTGTTGGGCAAAGGTTTCGAAGAGCATCATCAGCATGCAAGGCGGGTGATGGGTGCTCATGCGCACTACTCAATAATAAGCCGTGATGCTGCATGCTGCTGCTGCATGCTGCACCTGCAGCCTAGCTGCTGCCGCAAAGCCTACATGCGCCTCAATCGAGCGACGCCGATTTGTTTCTGGGTGCGAATCTTGCAGCCGAGGACCTGCCCGCGCTGTTGCTGCGTGATGGGATGACTGCTGAATCACAATGAAGATTCGCAGAAGCAGCAGCAGCGCCACTCGACCGCTCATGGCCGAAGGGCAACAGTCATGCGGCGCACCTGCATGCGCCCATGCGGTCCATTTCTCAATGAATTCTTGCTCCCAACTTCCTCTCGGGGGTACCACTCGATCCGCACTTTGACTACTCTACTTCTGGGCGCCCGCCGACCGCGTGTCCAGACGTGGTCCATCTCCTTCGCAGCAGCGTGGAGTCCTATCTTATGTCCGAGCCATGAGGACAACTTGATGCACATACTCGAGGCAGCAAGAGCCTGGACCTCACAATTAAACGCCCCGCCCTTATCCAAGCACCACGCATCTCCGTGCGATTGAATCTCCGCGTGAAGGAGAGGTGCTTCATGGCTGTGCAGCCGAGTAGCCCTAACCTTAAACGCTCTTCTACATTACAACAGTCGTGACCACACGCAGCAGCAACGGCGATGAGATCGAGACGCCTGTAGCTCTGCGATCTGTTCAAATCTGCACTTCTGCCCCCAGATCGGAGAGTCTGCAGTTGGCTCATCAGCATCCTCTATTCCCCGACGTTGTTCGGGCATCGTTGTGCGTTGCTGCAGGCACGACGTACTACTTCCACTTTACGCACTCGCTGCACGCTGCATCGCATACAGGCCAGAGCCCGGCATACATTCCCAATTTGCCCCTCCATATTGCGTAAGGTGACCGTGGACCGCAGAACAGGAGAGTGAGGTGCACATCGCACCTTTCCCTATACAGAAATCTCTCTCCCTCACACCATCACACTCGCCGCTCTCGACCTCGTCGCATGTCCCCGCCCCTTTACGCCTCAGTCGGCTCACCTACTGCACACACGGGTCGCGCATTCGACACCACGCACAGCACAGCCTCCTGACTTCACAACACATTTCGCCTCGCGATCGTCGAACGTTTGCATCTTGGACGCGCTCTCGCTAGCGGCTCTGCTCCGGTAGAAGCGAGAGAAGTGCTGTCCCGTCTCAGATGAATGCCCCTCAGTCGTGAGTGTAGGGTTGTGAGCGATGACTGAGCTGTTGAGGATGGGGCCACCTGTCCTCTCCACGTGAACGCACTGTATGCGACTGCCATGACCCACGAGGAGGGGACTCATCTTCTGATCTCTTTGGCGCCGCAGCAATCCCATTACGATTGCAGACGTTGCTCCTATACCTCCGCCGCGTTCAGCTTCCAAGCCGCGCGGACCAAGCGTAGCTGATAGGAAGATGAGCGAAAGCGCGCGGGCAAGTAAGCTCTCAAAATTCTTTGGAGAGGCTCCTCCGCCTTCTCTGGCTCGTGGCGGCTCGAACGCATCGCGATCGGCAACGGCTCCACGATCAGCCAGACCGCTCACGGGGGTTAGTCCCACCGCCAGTGCTGCCGCGCCGCAGCTCGATCTACTATTGCCAGGATCGCAACTTATTCGATCTGGAAGCGCGACAAACGTCCTGCTCGAAGGTCAAGGTACATCGCACGGCGATGCAACTGTAAGCCCGGGTGACCTGGGCTCCACCCACGCGCACCATGGTCCTGGCCTCTTTGCCGGCTTCGACGCGACGCCTCATGGCGCGCGGAGCCCCACTGCACCACCGGACGGGCGTCAGCAGCCCCACGTCAGGAATTACCCGGAGGCTGGCCCTTCCAATCGCGCCTCTCTGGACATATTTCAAGAGGGCAGGCGCGAAAGTACAAGCAGTATGGGTGCCGCTTCGTTCACCACTGGCTTTCCCGCCCCTCCCATGGGTGCGACGAACAGCCACTGGGCGGCGTCTCCTCCCCGGCAGTCCACTAGTACATCTCACCAAGGACCCGGCGGTTCTTTGACCGCCTTCTTTGACCACCTTGGAGGCGAGATCGAGACGGTTGGTGCATCCGCCAGCAACAATGCGCGACGACCTTCGCTACCGAACACTGGCACGCCGGGCTCCATCGCGTCCAGCCGCCAAGCAACACCACAGTCCGCGCTTTCGCCCTCCAAATCGATCACTTTCCAGTCTCCAAAAGCTGCCAGACCTGGATCGATGGCCGGCTCCGATCATCATTCGGCGTACAAATTTGGCGACCTTGGCAGAAGCAGCATGGGATCTAGAAGGCCATCAGTCGACGCGCAGATCATGTCCGCGACTTTCTCATCGGCTTCCTTCGACCCTGAGCGGACAATCGGTACGACGCCTTATGAGCATTCCTCCCTGGGTGCCAGTTCGAGCCGCGGAGACCGAGCGCCGTGCGATCCGACGTGCGCCCCATTCCCTTGTGAATACCGAGCTCTGAGGCGCTCCATCTTGATGGACGAGCCGGTCGCCAAGTACAGCTTGCCCAGGGGTATGACGCTCGCGCGCAAGCGTGGCTGGCGAAGCAGGCAGCTGGTTCTCACCTCCAATGGACATCGTGTGGACCAGCGCGTCACTGTGGTTCCCTCTGCTTGGGGTGCGGATGGGTCGTCGACTTCGATGACAACAATCACGCCGTGCTTCGACTTCGATGTGCCCTATGCTGAGGACCTCTCTTCGGCGCCTTTTGCATGCTTGCACGTCTTCAAGCCCGACGGAATGAAGGAACAGCAGCGCTTCGTGCTGGCTCCCACAAGCTACGTGGCAGTGGCCGACAGTGCCAGGCGATACGGCGGAGGCCGCCACTTGCTTAGAATAGGCGGTGGCTCTGCCGTTTACCCCCAGGAGATCGAGACTGCTCGGGGATCAGTGCAGGGCGAAGAGTGGCTCGTGCAACTAGACTCGATCGAGCAGCTGCTCAAGTGGCAACACACCATCAGGGTGCGTACCCCTCTGTGTGAACCGATCTAGCGCACCTGCCTCTCTGATCTTTACCCTTATCGCACTTACCCGCAGGCACTCATCGCAGCTCTTGCACACGCTGAGGGCGAGTTCAGGACAGGTCGACGTTATCCGAGAAGAGGGTCTGCAGCGGACAATGGCCTGTTCTTGCGCTCTCCTCCCCCTGCTTCGCCAGTCTGGTCAGCCCCTACGCGCAGCGCAGACGCTGGTGCACACGAGCAAGCGAGGAAGAGCGGCCTGGGCATAGCGTGGTCGCCGCTCGAAAGCGACGCCGCGGGACGACGCGAGCACGCGATTGCTCCTTCTAGATCATCCTTCTCGGCTGTCTCTGAAGCGCGACCAAGCGGAGAGCGCTCTGTAACAGAGCGACCTTCTGTGGAGACTCGCACAAGCACGGCAGACCCAGAGTCTCCCATCGATCACGCATTTCCCGGCGTACACAAAAGGCAACAGCCACATTCTGTACTCCCTTCAAGAGATCCGCGAGAGGTTGTCAGACCCGTCAGCTCGACGGACCCCTTGCTTGACGAGATGGAGACACTCACTCAGGAGCTTTCAGTGGCAGAGAGCAAGCGCGAGCGTGCTCCGTTGAGCGAGGGCCGAGAAGGCGACGGTCATTTCTCGATACATGGCACAAATGTTGGGACGCTGAGGGGCTGGGCTATGGTCAGCAGTGATTCCATCAACACCGAGCCGCTCGTCCACGGGCAGCACTCGAATCCTCTATCGGGCACCCACGATCAGCACGACGACGATCGCGCTTCGGTTACATCAGAGCCGATGGAATGGACCAGCCATAGCTATGGACGCAAAGCGAGGTCGCGCACGACTTCAGTCTCCAGCACCAACTCGTCTCCAATCTGCTTCTCTTACGCCCGAAGCGATCTTCCTCCCCGTACGCCTGCCCCTCAGACTGCGCTTCCGCCGCCTCCCTCAGCGCAGACAAAGCATGCGTCCGGCATTCAAATCACCGTTCCTTCATCTGCACGCAAAGCCGAAGGACATTCGCCCACGCTGTCGGGCCCTGCTGCATTGCGCCATCGACAGGCATCGCATGAGAGCACTGGGACGAGCTCCCACACTTCTTCTGTCCGAAGTGATTCAGGCTCCAACATGGCCGCACGTACCTGGAAGAGCCGCCCAGGCAGCATGATGGACTCCTCCTGGAACAAGCTCAGTGATGGGTACAGCCCAACTGCCGCTTGGAACTTCAGCAACTCACCCAGCAGCTCTGTTGGCACTGTCTCCTCACCGTTGACACCCTTGTCGCCTACAGCGCCAAGCGACGCGCGAGATAGACACGCAGGGGTCTCGATTCGCCACTCGCTTGATGTTACTCCACACGCGTCGAGCAGCTTGGAGCGCAAGCAAGCGCTGCTCGCAGCTCTGGCACTAGAGCAGCGAGCTCAGAGCTCTTCCACCCCTGTCGAAAATCGGGCTATAACGCCACGCGAGCAGGTGGAAGAGGTTACGCCCGTAAGGGGAGAAAGGCGCGACCCAGACACGCGAAACTATGCGAATCAAGCGACGAACGGCAGTAGACTGTCCCCGCGCTTGCGCAGCCATATAGACCCGCCTACGCCCTCAACGCCAGACGACAACTGGAAGTCCAGTCTCCCGCGCAAGCACACGCAACGAGGCAGCTTCTTCAACCTGTATGAGTCAGAGGATGAGCAAGAAGACGGCAACATGTCGAGTGATGTGGAACACAGCCAACGCAGTGGACTAGCTTCATCTGACGAGGGTGTGCAGGCCGGCAGAGCAAGCCCAGGCAAGCTACTCGTTTTGGCGCCTCCTCCCCGTCGCAGATCGAAGTCGACACAAGGCTCAACTCCGGCTCAGAGCCATCGCCATTGCCAATCCGATGTCAACCCATACGCAAGCGTTGCTAGCCGAATCGATGCTGATGGCGCTGCACCATCGCGATCTGAAAGCCATCATAGTCTCTGCGGCGGATTAGGCGAAGCCAAGGCCAGGCAGAGTGGCGTTTCCGGGAGCGCGCAGGGCGCTGCGGGTGGGGTACTGCCTTACTCGCCGCCAACGCCTCTGAGCAACTCGCCCATTTCCAATCGACAATCGGCTCATGTATTTCAAAATCAGCAAGCCATCTGGGCGGCGTCGAACGCAGCCTCGCAACATTCTGCGTCGGTCAGCGGGCTCAGGCGAGGACCGTCGACGCACCGCTCTTCGCGCGAGAGCCTCATGTTGGCGGCTGCTGCAGCCGCAGGACAGAGCCCGATCGACGCTAAAGGGGGCAGGTCTCCGCACCCTTCCGTGCCCGCATCGCGTGTCCTGTCCAGTGAAGATCTGCTTTCAGGATTCCCTTCACCGCCGCCCTCTATGCCGACACCACCATCCAGGTCTCCGGTGCGCCGAGGAGGCGCATCCTCAGCCCCGAGCACGTGGAGACTGCCACCTGCAGCTTTGCCGGATGTCTCTGCTGCCGCATCGGCTCAACACTCCTTCATGAACATCCAGACCACTCCTTCTTCTCGATCCAGACCCACTTCGCCCAAACGGCAACGTCAACCGGCCACACCCACTACTCACAGTCCGCAGCACGAACGCGCAACCATCGGATTGGCCATGTAGACGCTGCGATCCGCTATCTGGCAAGCACCTCTTCGCCTCCGAAGACTTGCTTTGCTTTCCCCCTCTCTCTCTCCCTCGATTTCTGCGCCTTTACGCTAATCACACCGATGGGCAACGCATCCCATGTACATGTACGTCCAATACCCTTGCTTTTTTGCCAAACGCTGCTTTGGCAAACTTGCTGCACCACCACCATCACCATGCTCGTCAAGTATATCTACGGGCACGCCATAAATTCTCGGCCACTCCAAAGCGACATGCACGGCATACGCGTGATGTATTGCAAAGTCTGATGAGAGACACTGAAACGCCTTGCAATCGGTAGTCTCAATGGTGAGGATGCTCTTCTGGAGTGAGAAGCATTGATCGAAAAGGTGATAACGAGTGTTGGGCCCATCTGGGCGGGCGGATAGCTATATGATACAGAATTTCGTGGAACGATGAAGCTAGAATGAGTGAATGCTAGTCTAGTGATACAGATAAATGCTAGAATCGAAGAGGAGATGTCGAATGTCGAATGAGCACAAGCAAGTCTACGAAAAGAGTAAAGGCACGTTCTAGGCTACGAGACCGAAGAGATTCTTGCTGCGCTTGTGCGTCAGCTTTGGAGGCATGTTGCCGATTGGGCTGAGGGACCTAAGCTCAGCTTTAGGAGCAGGCGGAGGAGAACGAAGGCTGCTCAAACGAGAGCGCAAAGCATTGTCGAGTCTTTTGATGAGCTTATCCGCCTGCGCATCTTCCTTGCACGTGTGTTGAAGACCAAGCCCAGAAGCGCTCTTGGTCTTGATGGATTGGAAAGAATCTTTGCGCATCATGGAGTTGAATGCGCTCGTCACGCTGTTGGCTGCTTGAGCCGTCTTGCTGATACCCTGCGTAGGGAGCAAGGGAGATTCGGGCTCAAACACGGATTGCGACGGTGGAGAGAGGAAGCGCAAAGGCTGGGAAGGCAGAGGAGCTCCCAGCATGCGAGAAGAGCCACGGCGAGGTGTAAGAGGTGCGGCGCGACGCGTCGCATCGGAGAGCACCGACGACTGTAGAGGTGCGCAAAGGTTGGTGCGCGGATCAGAGAAAGCTTCACATTCTGGAAGCTTGGCCGAGCCGATGGCGACGGAGCCAAGATCAAGTCCAAGACTGTTGACGTTGCCGCCATATGCGTGCTCGAAAGCCGACGGTGTCCCACGTCCGTGACGGTCAAACCCTAGTGGATTGTCGTGGCCCCACGTCTGACGGTCGTCCACCTCGTACATGCCTCTTGGCCCTTCTGACTCCTCTTCAAGGTCGGACCAAAACTCGAAAGCGTCGGCAACATGACGGTTGAGTTCGCGATCGAGTGCGGCAATGTCGTCGCGAAGCTTGACATTGGGGCTAAGAGGTTCATCGGGGTTCGCGCAGAAGAGCGTCGGACGCTCAATGGTGTTGACAGAGGTTGATCTGCTTCTAGTGCCGCTAGACTGTGCATCCGCATCCTCCGAGGTCAGCGCAGAGTTGAAACTCGTGTCTGTAGATGCCGTCATGGAGCTGAGGTCGCTCGCATCGCTGTTAGAATGACCGTGGTGGCACGCTCGGTTGAGGCGAGCAATGTTGGACATGGCCAATTCCAGGCTCTCTGTAGGTCTGTATTGCCGCTGAGGGAGCTCTTCAGCAGTGTGTGCGTCCTTTAGTGCGTGCCTAGCCCTGGCAAGAGCTGGCGCACCGAGAGCGCGGAGGCGCGCTTGCTCGCGTTCTGGCGACGAGTGAACCGGGCTGTAGACGGAGTCCCGGACGTAGCCGAGAGTGGAGACGAATTGTTGTTGTTCAACTTCTTCTGCGTGGTGGGCTGAGGTGGAGCACTGTCGAGACGAGGAGCAATCGCTACGATCTTCGGAGGAGTCTGAGCTGAATGAGCTGGAGCGCGTGCGAACAGAGGGGCTGTACTCTGCTACCGGTCGAAGAGCTTGAACACGGCGGTAATGACTAGCAGCTTGAAGATCAAACGGCAAACTTGGCAGAGACTTGTCCGGGAGAGTGTGGCTAAGACGAAGCTTGGTATCGTCACCGTTGACGTCGACGTCGAATTGGAGCTCTGGATACATCTGGCTGAGCGCAGCACTCGCGCGCGCCATGACGCGAGCTTTGCTGGCTCTCACATTGCTGTTGTCTGATGCGGCACCCTGTTGAAGCTTGCGGCGTTCGAGACCTTCGTGTTCGGAGTAGTGAGCGCCGAGGTCGGGGAGGTCCATGGGCAAATTGCAGGGAGTCATGGGCCCCTCGCTCGTGTTGGAGCTTGTGCTGCTTGTGCTGAGACCAGGCACCATGTCGATGGAACTTGCGTTGGGGCCCGAACACTTGCTGCTGGCCATCAGGGCGGAGAGAGCATCGGCGCGAGCACACGCTCTTGAACAGTAGATTGGACCTTCCTCATCTTCATCCTCCGAGGCAGTTGACGCAGTGGAACGAGATGATGAAGCGGGTGTCGTGGAGATAGGATTGCCGCAAAAGCACCACGTGTGAGGCAGCTCAACGCTGGGAAGCACCGGCAAGCCTTTCTGGGGTGCGGAGTAGGGCGAGAGGAGGCCGGAGGGCAAATCGCATTGGCGCAACGAGTCAGTCATCGCTAGCAACGGTGGAGGGCCGGGGGATGAGTGGCGTAAAGGTGATGAGGATGGTAGCGGCAAGAGAAGGATGCGAAGTCGTGGGGATGGAATGATAGGTCGAAGACAGGCGGTGGTGGGTTTATGTATTGGTTTGTGTCCAATCGCTCCCGACTCTTCTGTCCGTGGGCCCGGAGCGGTCACGGGTTGCTTTCTCGCGAGGGCAGACTGCAGACGCTTTCTCGATCGTGGTCGCCAAGGTCAGGAGAACTTGAGCGCCAGACTTTGCGAGCGATGGCTACAGGGTGAGAAGAGCAAGCAAGGTGTTGATGTGTTGCTTTGCCCCTACATGCCATCATGCAGAGGAGCCCAACGGTCGAACAGCCGTTACGCTAGGAGCAGCGCAGGCAAGGCACAGCGTCGACGGTCAAACGGCACAGCAACTGCCGTTGCGCCTGTGCTCTCCTGGGGGCTCTGTTCGATGCGAATCTCCTTCCCAGCAGCAGCATGCAGCTAGTTTGCTAGGACCCATGGCGAGAAGAGGTCGCATCACGCCGACTGATCTTGGTCACGCCGCGAACACATGATCGTTTTTGCAGCTGATCGGTGCGCGCGCTCTGACTTGCCCTGCATGGCGTTCAAGATCGAAAGTGCGCCAATGATGTCTTTGTGCTTGCTGCATGGGTGAACCGATGCTTGGTGCACGTCAACAGCAAGGGCGGGCAACTTACAGTTGGGCTACCGACGAGTGCTGGTGCAAAGTGTATGATGATAATGTAGCGTTTGTGCGTCTCTTTGTCAAAGCGTGGGCAAACAAGCACAGCAGAGAGGCAGCAAGCAGCTGCAGCTTGTAGGATGCTCTGCTGGATGGTGCGGTGCGCCTCTTGCTTGCGCTCATGCAAGAGCAAGAGACGGCGTGAGACCAACACGAAGCTTTTGGTGGGTCATCTGTCGTGCGTGGGCATGTGCGCAGCTAGGGGCATTCGACGCTAACGGGGATTTTCTGTCCATGATCGTCTTATTGCTAGCCTCTCAAAGACCCTCATTCTTTCCACCAGTCGCACTGTAACCATAGTGATCACACGGGTAGCCACACCGACCTGCACCGTGGTGCAAGGCGAGTGCTGGAGTGCAGCAGGTGGCGCCTTGCAGCGAACAAAAAACCCATGAAACTGGCTGCTGTCGGTGGGGGTCTTGCCTTGCGGACCCTTTGCGCCTGCGCGCTCGCAGCCCTCGCAGCGGTGGCGCGTCCGTGGTCGGTGGGTGGGAACGCGCGCGCGCGAAAATGCGTGCCACAGCGATCGAGGTGCTCAAGTCATGCAAGGGACACTCTCTCACCACTCCTAAGGTGCGCGCCAACACTTACACAGCAGACCACAAACTCACGACTGCTGAGAGGCAAGCAAGCTCATGCATCCTCGTCGGCTACCGGCAAGAGGTACGTGAGCCCACCCCCCCTTGGACCACCCAAGATCGCGCACGACTGCTCTCGGTTGTTGGAGGTTTGCCTGTTGCGAGATGCTTGCTTTTCCAGAAGCTGCTTCCCGGGTGCGGTCCTCTTCGCGAGCTGTGATCAGTGATAATGATACCATACTCACACTCACGACTCTTATGCAAGGTCAACCAACCAACACTTGAGACTAAAGGCTGTGCGATTCGCGTCTGACGCGTCCAACCATGCACCTACCTATACCGTTCAGGAGCTGGAGCACCTCTGCGCGCGCCTTTGCTTACTTCTGACCGGCACTCGTCGATGAGCAAGCATGGTGAAGAAGTTGAGCCAGAGAGACATTCGATTCGCGATTGACATATCGGCGGCTGTCAAGAGATCCATTCTCCGCACAGGACGTGACCCTCCCTCCGCTCGCACATCGAGGACTTTGAAATGAGCCTCTCAGAGCTGCTGCTGACTTTAAAGAAAATGTGGCAAGACGCCGTGGCGTCCTGAAAGCAAGCCACGCAGTCCACAGCTCTTGCGCCTGCGCTCCATCACTTGCGGTACGTACATCGTGTTTGCGCGGGCAGCGTGGGCCATGGCTTGTCCTTCTTTGCGCAGCAACGCCTTCTTCGGTCCATACATTCACGATTGGCCATTCGCACAATTGCAGATGCCGAGCTTTTCGCTGACTGTGACTGCGAAACACGCTACACGGCACAAAGTAAGCCGCGTTGAACTTTCTGGTGGAGGGGGAGTTGTTGTTCTCTTCCCTTTTGTCTCTTCTGTTTTGCCCACCGGACGTTTAAACTTAGGTTCATACTCAGACGCTGCCTGCTCTAGCTTGCGAAGGTCTGCGATACGAAATGACGATCGATGCTTTTTCCAGCACGAGCTACGAGAAGGCAGGCCCCCTCGACCTCGACGGCTGCTCTGATCCGCCAGAATCACCTAGATGACACGCGCGTTTGAGAGCGCTTCTAGTCGATTCCTGGTCGCAGCAGCGGGCGTTTACAACTCGTGGTTGCACGAAGGGCGAGCATAGGCTGCTTTCGAATGTAATTTGCACCAAATCAAGAATCTTGGGGCGGGCGCCCCTCGCCAGGGCCACACGGCGCGCAATAGGTTCGAAATTCTTGGGGAAACTTCACATTCGAGAGCGGAGCAACGAGACTCTCCAGGAGCCCCGCGCTTTTCGAGTGAGCTATCTGTCGGTTGAATCGCAGGCTAGCCGTCTAGAGAGCATTTGGAAATCGATCATTGGGCGTGGAGGAAGGTGATGGGGCTCCATCGAGGTGCACTTCACACTAGAATCACTACTAATGAATTTGTGAGTGTGTGATTGTACCTACTCGTACGGAGAACGATCAGTGGGGACGTGCAGCAAAGGAAGATCCAGGTTGAGCTCGACTAGACCATCAATCCACCATTGACTCGGAGCGTCTGACCATTGACCCAAGCAGCAGCAGGGCTTGCCAAGAAAGCAACAACGCTTCCGATTTCTTCCGTCTTGCCCAAACGCTTTGCAGGGGCGCTGCTAGCGATCCTATCGATCACCTCTTGACTTTTACCCCTCAAAAATAGCTCCGTCGCCACTGGTCCTGGAGCGACGACGTTTGTGGTGATGCGTCGTTCTGCTCCCGAGATGGAAGGATCGCGCGCTAGCATGCGGGCGACCTGCTCGAGAGCTCCCTTGGAGGCCAGGTAGGAGAGGTAGCCTGGAGCAAAGTTGGCCAAGTTGGTCGTGAGGGTGGAGGAGAAGAGGATGATCTTGCCATCATCCCGAATGTTTGGCAGTAACGCTTGGGTCAGGAACAGCGGACCTGTGGCATCGGGTCGACATCGTCAGTAAGAGAGCACGGTAACACCATTCGTCTATCAGCCAGGCTCAGCGCAGCGTACGAAAACCCACCCGTCACGTTGGCGCCAAGATGGGCATTCCACGAGTCTTCCTTGAGCTCATGAATTCCGTGCATGTACATGTATCCTGCGCACTGCACCAAGATGTCGATCTTGCCTCCAACAAGGTCAAGGGCGGCCTTTGCAAAGGTTTGTGCGCTACTCGCGTCCGAAATGTCACCCTGGACGATCCAGGCTTGAGCGCCTTGAGCAAGATGCGGCTTGCAATTGGCTTGAACCTCTTCGGCGAGGTTGGCGCTAGATCGGTAGCCTATCGCAACGCTTTTTTTTTTTTTTTTTTTTGGATCAGAACAAAGGAGAAAGGGCAGGTGAGCTGAAAGCTCAATGCGTCGTTGATGGGGTCCTTTGCTGTAGTCCTGTCTCACCTTGCGCCGGCTTTGACCAGCTCGATGACAGTATCTGCGCCGATCCCACGCGTACCACCGCCAGTGACGAGGGCGATCTTGCCTTGCAGCGGCAACGGTGTAGTGGATGAGGAAGCCATATTTAGCAATGTCTAAGTAGTAGTGCTGGTAGGGTGAGCGGTCAAGATTGAGCTTTCAAGTATAGCGACGAGAGTGGCGACAAAAAGAAGTGTATAGTCTGGCTCGAAGGCAGGGACATCCATTAGCGAGTCACATCCGTGGTCTTATATACCTTGTGGCCCAAAGAAGTGAGCCGCACTACTGCTCTTGGGCGAGTCACGCACATCGTGTCACGCTTTCGACGATACAGTGAGGCCCCACATGCGTATGCGATCAACGGATGGAATCAAGAGTGACGGCGTCGACGTCTTCCCAGCACCTCCATTCGTCCATAATTTTACGTGGCAACTCTGCTAGACTCACGCACTGCACCTCGCTCATCGGATTGTCGTGTCGTGTCAAGGCGCCCAGCCGCGCATGAAAGGAATTACTCAACTGCGACTCCGGCGATTGATGGCATTACCTTCACGACGGCTCCTTCAGCAGCTGCCATGCCTATGATGTATAATGTAGATGGACGTCAGCATGCGCGCGGCCATGGCGCAGCACTCGCGGTTCGTGACTGTGAGCCACGAGTGATGTCGCCCCCACAGCCTAGCTAACATTCACGCTTCACGCTTCAAGACTAGTGCTTGATGTGGTCCAAGATTCAACATTCACGATTCGGCGAGAGAGCGGAGTGACGTGACGCGTGCCGGCATAGTCTCAAAGTGACGAAACGTATGGGAATCGGGTGGCTGATGCGTATCAATGTGCATCTGCTCTGATGCAACGTCACCTTACCATGACAAGGTCATCTCTCACATTACACGGCAGCCAACACATCAGTCGTGAGTCATGCACACAACCCGCCAGTCCTTGAGTGAGAATCAGAATCAGAATTTTGAATGTGAACCGTGCGTGGTGAACCGCGCGTGGACAATCAGAAGGATGAGCTGCAGCATGAGGCCGACAAGGAAGTCGATCGCGAGTCTGTCTCCACGAGTCGCTGTGCACGCTGCCTGCGCATCGACGACACATCTTGAGCTCTGCTGCTGTGGAGCCAGCCTGCGCTGTGCTCATGCATGCATGCACCGCCGCGAGCTCCCCTGCTGTTGTCTCGCTCGAAAGCGCATCTATCACCGATGCTTGCTGCTGGATATCACCGAGCTACCACAGAGATCACGTGCGCCGTTTAGGCAGCGGTCGGATACCGATGTATGCAGGGCAAGAGGAGCAGCCCTTCACACCTTTTATTTGATTCAAATTCGCTACATCCGCGATCACGATCAGGCATTCTAAAGATTCTTTGATTACGATCGCAAGGCTCCAGTCAAGAGTCTTGCCAAAATTAAGAATGCCGATGACCGGTGCTTCCAATCGTGAATCAAAGCCGACGTGGTCACGGGTCATTTTCCCAACCGGTCAGCCGAACAAGACCAATCAAGCGGTACTGTATGCTACAGCGGCGCTGAGGCGGATGTGCGAAGCATGCACGTGGCGGTGGGGAAGCTCAGAGCTCTGCCTCCACATTTGATTTCAGTCGTGCGTCTCGAGAGTCCCACCTTCTAGCGCGAACGCTGCACGCAGAGAACGTGACGGCCGCCGCGCGAGCCTGTGTGGATGAATCGTGAATGGAGGCGGGTCCGCCGCACTCGTCATGTGGGACGTGGAAGCAGCGAGCAAGACGCTGCGAAGTCTTAATTGAGTTGAAAAGGCTGACGGATGATCAGCATGCAGCATGGCCCAGGAGATCCAACATCTCAGCTCCGCCTCAAGAAGGCGACACAGTATAGATTGGTCTTACCTCGTTGCGCAATTCGACTCCGTGCGAGACTCTACTACCATCCATTCCGCCGCGCGACACCACTATCGCCTATTTCACACTCCTTCATTCGTAATTAGCCATAAACCTTACCACGCACGACGTCCCTAGTCAAAAACATCGCGGCCATCATGTCATTCGTCGACAACCTCATCAAGCAAGTGGGCCCCACTATCGGCATCAAATCCGCCACGCCCAACATTTCCTTCTTTGCCATCCCAGCAGTCTGGGTCGTCTCCATTCTTTGCCACTTTTACGCAGCTGCCAACGCTCCTACCAAGGATGGCAACAAGGGCTTCAGCAATGTCAGCCCTCGCGGTTACCTAGCTTCCATTCAGCGAAAGGAGAAAAAGTCGCCAGCTGAGGAGCAGTGAGTCGGCGCTTCCAGTCGGCAAAAAAAAA